CCCCCCCTGAACGGGTCACGTAGTATGGGTAAGTTCCCTTACTAGAGTGAAACCTGTGACATTACAATGGTAGTGAGTAAGGGAATTTAGCATGGACGCAATGTGGTCGCTGCTGCAGCAGACCGCTTCATCCCGATGCTTGGTAAGAATTCACAAAGATTCCTTACTAAAGCGGCTGCATAAATCAATGGGCGCTATTATCTTCGCCACGCCAATGCCGGCGAACCGTATTAGGGATTTCAATTTGGAGATTTGATAACGGGTCAATCTTAATAATCGGAAAAAGTGAGAAGAGCACTCGAAGACCTATAAATTTACCACTGGCGTGAGTAAGAGCGTTGGCCAACCGTAAGACCCCTATCCAACCCGACAAAGCGTGGTGACAGGGAATTTTATATTTATATTGTATTCCTATACCCCCATACAGTGAAACCTCGATATAATCAAGTTTAAGGGGTTGAACAAATCCACCGCTATATTTGTAAGTTCATTCATTATATTTACATAATATCAAAACCTCGATACAACAAAATATGCAAAATTTTGGAAAAAGTTCGTTATAGGTATAATTTCGTTTTTTTTTTTCAGAACTTCACTCTAACCTTCCACATATTCAAAATTCGCTATGTTGTGGTTTTCGAGTCGAGACTTTGTTATAAAGAGGCTTTTGCTGACATAATTTTAATCCTCAATACATCTCTGGAGCATTTTTGTGTGGAAACTTTCACAACAACGAGATTTGTCATGTGACTCAGCAAAAATGTGTTATATTGAGTTTTTCGTTTTATCCAGACTCGTCATATCGAGGTTTCATTGTATTATCATTTATCCCATTCGTAAGCAAGATAAAAAGTTCTGAGAAAATTTTCAATAAGTAATTGTAGTCATTAAAGCACGACACTTACATAATCATACACACCTAAGCCAACTTTGGTCCCACATATTTGTTTACATTACCTACATATGTATACAGTGACTAAAACAAATGACCACGTGTTGATTTTTTTGTTTTGTTTTTTAATTTTGTTGTTGTTATTTTTCTATAAAAATACCGTCCAAGCTTTGACCAAAACAATATAAATCACAGGTTTGAACATTATACAAAATTTAGGAAAATTAAAAAAAATTTCATCAGAATTTCAACTTTTTAAACAGAATCCTTAGAATTTCTTATGAAATAAAATGCGGGGGACCGTTAGCAACAAAATTACAAAAAAAAACGTCAACGTCAGTTTTAGTATATGTACATATGCACTTGTTATGTAAAAA